CGAGCCCCGCATCGGGCTCCCCCTGCTCTACGGGGGGCCTGCTTCTCCCTCTGCCTGCCACTCCCCCCACTTGTGCACGCTCTCTCTCTCTCTCTCTCTGTCAAATAAATGAATAAAATCTTAAAAAAAAATAAAATAAAATAAATAAAACCATGCAGAGAATCTTAAATCCCTCAAAATTGGGCCTCTTAAGCAAGGCACAGCAGGGTTACCTGAGAGGGCACCACCCCATCATAAAGAACTCAAGTCTACCTCTAAATTCTATTTACCATCACAGAAGAACTTCCTTCTTTTTTCAATTAAAAAAAATTCATTCCATCTGACTTATTATTAATAACCCTGAAGAACCTAAAGAACTATAACTTACCTTTTTTAGCGACTTCCATTTCTTCTTCTGTCCATCGAGAGGTTTCTACAGGCTCTGTGGAAACTGAAATAAAGAGAGAGAACTCAGTAAGGCAGAGAAAACTTAAGTTCATTCACAGATGAGATGGCACTGACCTGCCTGTCTGACATAAAGCCTGTCTGAAGCATTAGGTGAAGGCAACTATGGACACAGGATGGTGGCAGGCTCTCCCCACCAACTAAAGGGGAATAGTCAAGGCTTCTCCGTTAGGATCTTTCTCAATGTTCTCTGAAGTTCCACCCATGTCTACACGTTTGTTTTATTTCCTATGAAGTCCCACCTCACCCACTGCCTTCCCACTATTCCAGCCCCATTCCTCCTCTCCTGAAGTGTCAAAGGAAGAAACAACAGTCCCCCTTCCTGTCCAGGCACAGTTCTCTCCTGCTCTCTGAATCCCCCATCTCGTCCTCACTCCTGGAGGCCCTATGAAACCTAGTAAACACAGATGGATCACAAACTGCACATTCTCCCTTCTACATTAGAAAGGAAAGTAAGACTATCAGACATGAAATGAGCTCCTGCCATATTCCCCTTCTCAATTAATAGTACCATCATCCATCCAGTCACTTGAATTATTGACAGCCTCCTCAGACCAATTTGTTAATCCTTCTTCCCACTTACTACTCACATCCCATGATGTGTGTCAGTTCTAATCTCCCGAATCATCCTCTTCTTGCCTGAGCCACTGCGTACATAGCGACGCCCCTCTGGCTGGTTCCTCTGCCTCCAGCCCCTTACTCTCTCCAACCTGACCTCCACAACTGTCACTAGTTAGCTTTCTAAAACATCAATCTATGTACAGCATTCCTCTATTTAAAAACCCCTATGAGCTCCCACTTTGTAAGCAAAGCAGGATATAACTCAAACAAGGTCCATCATGATCTGCCCCCATTTGTTTATCTAGTTCTTTTCCTTGCATCCTTCCTTGCCATCCCCAGAACCTGGTTTCTTTATGCTTCATGTTATAGTAAAATTGGTACCATTGAACCAATGACGGTAAGCATTATTAACATGATCCCTTTATAAACTAATGAGACTGTACTTAGTAAAAGACAGAAAAATGCTTGGACCCAAGAATTCATTCCTATAAAAAATAATTTAACAGAAAGAAAATGTTCCGTGAATCAAGATCTGTTTTTTCTTTACAGTGCTATATCTATTAGTTTAAAGATAAGGGGGCAGGGGACAGCCTAATCATTCAGCAACAGGGAATGGTTCAAGAAATCGGGCCTCAGGGAACATGATGCCAACACTTCACAGCCATCAAAAAGCAAAAATGAAGATCACTTAGACTACATAATATTTATAATATATGTCAAGTTAAAACATCAGAAAAAGCATACACACTAAAATTACAACTAAGTAAAAAGAAAAACAGCTATATTAAGATAGCAAGATTGGGGCAGATCTTTTTCAAAAGACACTGATATTAAAGTTTAAAAAACGTAAAGGCACTGAAGAAGTAAAACTTGCACTACTTGCAGATGACATGTTACTACTACATACAGAAAACATAAAAGATTGCTAGAACGGATAAACAAATTCAGTAAAGTCACAGGATACAAAATCAATGTAAGGAAATCTGTTGCATTTCTACACACCAATAATGAAGCAGCAGAAAGAGAAAATAAGAATACAATCCCAGGGGCTCCTGGGTGGCTCAGTCGTTAAGCATCTGCCTTCGGCTCAGGTCATGATCCCAGCGTCCTGGGATTGAGCCCCGCATTGGGTTCCCTGCTCTGCGGGAAGTCTGCTTCTCCCTCTCCCACTCCCCCTGCTTGTGTTCCCTCTCTCGCTGTGTCTCTCTCTGTCAAATAAATAAATAAAATCTTAAAAAAAAGAAAACAATCCCATTTACAGTTGCACCAAAAATAATAAGATACCTAGGAATAAACCTACCAAAGAGGTGAAATGCCTGTACTCGGAAAACTATAAGACACTGATAAAAGAAATTCAAGACAACACAAAGAAATGGAGAGACATTCCATGCTAGTGGATTGGGAGAACAAATATTGTTAAAATGTCTACGCTACCCAAAGCAATCCACCCATTCAATGCAATCCCTATCAAAACGCCAACAGCAGTTTTCATAGAACTAGAACAAATAATCCTAAAATTTGTATGGAACCACAAAAGACCCCGAATCACCAAAGCAATCTTGAAAAAGAAAAGCAAAGCTGGAGGCATCACAATTCTGGACTTCAAGTCATATTACAAAGTTGTAGTCATCAAAACACTATGGTTCTGGCACAAATACAGACACGTAGATCACTGGAACAGAACAGAAAACCCAGAAACAAACCCGCAATTACACCATCAACTAATCTTTAGATAAGACAGGGAAGAATACCCAATGGGAGAAAGTCTCTTCAACAAATGGTGCTGGGAAAACCAGACAGCAACATACAAAAGAATGAAACTTGGCCACTTTCTTACACCATACACAAAAATAAATTCAAAATGGATTAAAGACCTAAATGTGAGACCTGAAACCATAAAAATCCTAGAATAGAATACAGGCAGTAATTTCTCTAATGCTGGCCGTAGCCACTTTTTTCGAGATAGGTCCCCTGAGGCAAGGGAAACAAAAGCAAAAATCAACTATTGGGACTACATCAAAATAAAAAGCTTCTGGGAGGCCTGTGTGGCACAGTAAGTTAAGCGTCCAGCTCTTGATTTCGGCTCAGTCATAATCTCAGGGTCGTGAGAGAGAGTCCCGCGTCAGGTTCTGTGCTGGGCGTGGAGCCTGCTTGGGATTCTGTCTCTTTCCCTACCCGTCCCTCTCTAAAAAAAAAAACTAAATAAAATTTAAAAATAAATAAACCAATAAAATAAAAAGCTTTGGCACAGCAAAGGAAACAACAAAACTAAAAGGCAACCTACGAAATGGGAGAAGATATTTCCAAATGACATATCTGATAAAGGGTTAGTATCCAAAAAATATAAAGAACTTATAAAATTCAACACCCACAGAACAAATAATCCAATTAAAAAATGGGCAGAAGATGCAAACGGACATTTCTCCAAAGACATCCAGATGGCCAAAAGACCCATGAAAAGACGCTCAGCATCACTCATCATCAGGGAAATGCAAATCAAAACCACAATGAGATACCACCTCACACCTATCAGAATGGCTAAAATCAACAGCACAAAAAACAACAGGTGTTGGCAAGGATGTGGAGAAAAAGGAACCCTCTTGCACTGTTGGTGGGTATGCAAACTGGTATAGCCACTGTGGAAAACAATCTGGAGGTTCCTCAAAATTAAAAATACAACTGCCACCCGGGGCGCCTGGGTGGCTCAGAGGGTTAGGCGTCTGCCTTCAGCTCAGGTCATGATCTCCGGGTCCTGGGATTGAGCCCCATGTTGGTCTCCCAGCTCAGCTGGGAGTCGGCTTCTCCCTCTCCCTCTCCCTCTGCCTCTGCCTCTCCCCCTGTTTGTGCTCTGTCTCCTCTCTCTCTCTCCCAAATGAATAAATAAAATCTTAAAAACAAAAAAACAAAAACAAAAATTGCCATATGATCCAGCAATCACACTACTGGTTATTAACCCAAAGAATACAAAAACACTAATTCAAAGTGATACATGCATCCCTATGTTTATAGGAGCATTACTTAAAACAGCCAAGATATAGAAGCGGTCCAAGTGTTTATTAACTGATGAATGGATAAAGAAGATGTGGTGTGTGGATACACACACTTACACACATACACATACATACACCATGGAATATTATTCAGCCACTAAAAAAGAAGGAAATCTTGCCATTTGCAATGACATGGATGGAGCTAGAGAGTATAACACTGAGTGAAAAAAGTCAGAGAAAGATAAATACCATATGATCTCACTCATATATGGAATTTCAGAAACAAAGCAAATAAGCAACAGGGCGGGTGGGGAAGAGAGAGAGAAATAAACCAAGAAACAGACTCTGAACTATAGAGAACAAACAAGCTCACCAGAAGGGAGCTGCAGGGTGGGGGGCCAGGGGAGGTGTAGATATGAGTGAAAAGGGTGATGGGGATTAAGGAGTGTACTTCTCATGATGAGCACCGGGTGATTACAATAAAACCTCAAAAAAAAAAAAAAAAAAAAGTAAAGGCAGCCTTCCAGACTATTTGTAGGTCGTCGGTATCGGAGGACCCTCCTGCACTGCAAGAGAACCCCGCACCAAATCCCGGCCTGTTCGCTCCCATCTTGCGCACTCACTGGGTTCTGGTGGGGGTGGCAGAGGCGGCGGGGGCTCCTCAGTGGCCGCAGCAGCCGCAGCGCTGGCCGCCGCGGCTTCGTTGGTCATGGACCGGGTGATGCGGCCCTTTCTGCGGCCCTGACTGTTGGCGGTCTTTCGTCCCCGGGGTGTGGCCTGCTCTCTCTCCTCCGTTTCTTCTGCTGTACCTTCCGTCTTGTCCTTTTCCTTGGCATTTTCTCTGGAAACAGAAGCAGACGAAAAGTTTGTGTGATTTGGAAGTATACGTGCATCTAAGAAAGTTGAGGCTTGGATTTTTTTTTTTTAATAGAAATTAAATAAGACTACCCAGTCTCTCAAGTTACTGAAAATGAAATTTATGAAAAATGCTGTCATGCCCCAATTTTGAAGGGTTTTGACTGGCTCAAATTAAGATATTTCACAAAGGTCTGTTTTATTCCTCAATGGACTCAAAATTCAAACACGTTTCAAATCACCTTATTATGTATTATGAGAACATCCTACGAGGAAGTAAAGGATGGCAGCAGAAAAGCCCCTAGACCTGCAATCCAGAGGCAGTGGGGTACACCAAAAGGCAGGAGTCTGGGATTTCTTGCCTTGGCTCCAAGGTAAGTTTTCTCCTCTGTGAAATGAAGAGGCTGAAACAGATACCATTTCCATAGTAATAATCTACAATACTGCTTCATTAAACCAGGCTCAGTGTTCTCAACCATCTCCAATACTAATTATGTGCAAACAGGCCGGTGTGGCCCAGAGGTTATAACGGAGAACGGTCTAGAGCCAGGCTGCCCAGGTTGGTACCAGAGCTGTGTGATTTACTAGCCATGTGACCTGGGACAAGCGACCTCCCCTCCACAGCCTCTGTTTTTCTCATCTATAAGTGAGAAGAAGAATAGTATGTTTCATAGAGCTGTTGCAATGATTAAAAGAGTTAATCTATATAAAATGCTCAGAACTGTGCCTGGAACACAGTAAGCATCATATGTATGTAGTTTGCTGTTATTAAGACTACACCTACCTCAGCCACTTAGGAAAAACTCCTTCAATAAATAAAGGGTCATTACTATTAGCAGCAACAGTACTGCATGTAACACTAGAAGCCTATTCTCTGTACGTATCTCCCAGGATTGTTAGGTTTAAAAACAAGGCCCCTAATGTACATTTCTGCAAATGAATGGAGAGGTGGCAATACTCAAAGACTCAACTGCTCTTGCTTAATGGGAGGTGTTGATTTTTTTCAACACTTCAAGCAAAGATCTGTTGTAGCTTACCAAGCTTACCCCAATAAAAAAATTCTTCAAGAATTTTCCCCCTTCGGTCCTGAACTGCCCCTGAAGTTACCATGCAGGCCTCTTTCTCCACTTCTTTATTCCCTTAGCAATCTGGCTACTACTACAGTCTCATCTTAAAGACGTTTTGTCAAAAGTCACCAATGGGGAAAAAAAAAAGTCACCAATGACTCACAAACTGCAAGTTCAGACGACCTTTTCTCAATTCTTATTGCACGGATCTTCCTGCTACAACTGACCCTAAGGACAATTCTTTTTACATCCTTCTCAGCTTTTAGGACTCCATGCCTTCCTGATACCCCTAGTGCTACTCTGGCTCCCCCGGGGAGGGCTTCTCCCCTCATCCTTCCACACCACACCCCAAGGCTCACCCTGGCCTTAAAGCTCCGTGAGGTTGCCCCGCTCACATCCATTCCACCAGGATGACTCCCAGTCTGTATCTTTAGACTCACACCTCCCATCGCCAAAATCTTCTAAGACCCAGACTTGTCTTCCCAAATACCTGCTGGAAATCCCTATCGACATACCTGGACTCCCCATCAGTACAAAGTCAACATGTCCAAAACCATGCTTGTCGGTGCTCTGCCTCTTGCTTCCCTCCACGGAACAGTACGTATCACACACCATTAACAATTCCGCCGTTATCATATTCATTCACGTTTACAGATCTGGCATCATCTTTAGCTTTTCCCCTTTTCCTTTACCTCCTATATACGATCTCCCACCAAGGTTTGGTTATTTCGTCTCGGTAACAGTGCTCCCACTAATTCCACCGTCTCGATTTCTACTACCACTGTCCTTAGTCAGGGCTTCAGTACCCCAAACCCCTCTTCTGTAACAGCCTCCCTGACTTGCATTTCCAATCCATCCATTCTCTGCTGCTCGTGGGTCAATATTCTAGTAGAATAGCTTTGGTAAGAAACCATTCCATCCAGGGGCACCTGGGTGGCTCCATCAGTTAAGCGTCTGACTCTTGATTTCAGCTCAGGTCATGATCTCGGGATTCTGAGATCAAGCCCCACACTAGGCTCCATGCTCAGCAGGAGCTGAGCTGTTATTTGAGATTGAGATTCCTACCCTCTCCTTCTGCCCCTCCCCCTACTCACACATGCTTGTGCATGCACACTCCCCAAGAACATAAATAAATAAATCTTAAAAAAATAAAGGAAACAAACCATTCCATCCGCTGAAACTGCTACCTACAACTCACAACACAGACTATTTTAGCTTCATTGAGGTTGTACTTAATCTAACCCCAATCCACCTTCCACTTTTCTTCTTCAGCCACCCTCTGTTCCAGTCTAATAAAACCATTATAATGCTGTCATTTCTCATAGCAACACATCTCTTCGCGTGGTTCCCTCTATTCTTTACACATTAACCACCAGCTCCTGCATAAAGTCCTCTAAACTATCCAGACAGAAGTAACCCTGAACCTCTTTTCAGTTTCCCAACATCCTTTACTGGTTCTGCTCATTTCTCCTGGGCTTTCTTCTTTTTCATAAATAGTACTTGCATCTTGCCTAGCTTTCCTCTACTAGATCATAAACCACCTTGGAATAGTACATATCTTATGTACTTTCGCATCCTCCATAAGAGCTAGCTCACATCATTAATAAATGCTTGTTAATAGAGATTTTAGGAAAAAAGAAAAAAACCAAGATATAGCAGTTTCATGAGAGCAGAACCACTAACCACGTGGGAGTATAAATGTTTTACCTGAACTAAAAAAAAAAATTGTTTTTTTAATAGTTACTTCCTAAAGTACAAAATTAGAATGGCAATGACATGAGGATCCAACTCTTTAACAACCATACCAAGTGATTCAGGCTGTAGTTGCCACAAAACCAGATAAACCTTCAGTATTTGCAAGGGGATTACAGAAATAAGACAATAAATATTAAAAAGAACAAACTACTGATATGTGCAACAATCTGCATGGATCTCAACGTCATTATGCTAAGTAAAAGAAGCCATGCACAGAAGACTACATACTACATAAATCCATGTATATGAAATTCTAGAAAAGGCAAAACAGATGAGTAGTCGCCAGAGGCTGGGGATGGCAGCGGAGTGTGGGAAAACCTACAGCAAAGGAGCATATGGAACTTTCTGGAGTGATGTAAACACTCTGTCACAACTATGGCAAGAGTTACACCAGGGCATATATTTGTCAACATATATTCAATACACACCTAAATTGGTGAATTTTATTGTGTAAATAATGCCTCAAGAGAGCCAATCCTTGGTGGAAAAACCACCAACTGAGCTGCTAAGCGCCCTCCACCACCCCACCACAATATGTGCACTAAGGCATCAACAAGAGCTGTCTCTGAGCGGCAGAATCACGGGCTGATTTTGTTAATATTTTGCTCCCTTTTCCTCATTTTCTATAGTGAACAAGAATTACTTTTATAACCAGGCAAACAACAGAACCACAAACAAACCAGGAACCCCACTTTATACGATAAATAAAACCCATGAAACTATAATATCAGGTATTATAGAAAACCACTTATCAGCATTTTTACATGAGTGTAAAGTATCAAAAGTGCAAAAAAAAAAAAAAAAAAAAGAGAGATCCTGAGGCACCTAGGTGGCTCAGTCGTTAAGCGTTAACCGAAGGCAGACACCTTCGGCTCAGGTCATGATCCCAAGGTTCTGGGATCAAGCCCCACATCAGGCTCCCTGCTCAGCAGGAAGCCTGCTTCTCCCTCTCCCACTACCCCTGCCTGTGGTCCCTCTCTCGCTGTGTCTCTCTGTCAAATAAATAAAATCTTAAAAAAAAAAAAAAAAAGATCCTGAGGTAACTTCCAAGTCAAAAATTAAGTTATATTCAATATATCTCAAGTGATGAGTATATATTATTATAGATCATCCCTTCTGAAAAGTAACATCTCATGTCTGGCAAACAAGTCCATTAAGCCAAGAGTTGTATTTACCAGACTATCCTGTTCTTTAATTATGTCAAAGCACATGAGATGATCAAAGCACACATCCCATTCATTCTTTTATCTAAAATTTTATACCTTCGAGTCAGTAGGTTCATGATTAAATAAGATAGTATCTAATCATTCAACTCACTTAGAGTCCTCCTTTTCATCTTTTTCTTCTTCATCTTTCTTTTCCTCTTCTTTTTTTTCTGTTTTTTCTGCTTTATCTTCTTCTTTTTCTTCTACTTTTTCTTCTTGTGAGGGTCGGGCAATTTGCTGCTAGAATGAACCATCATTCGTCAAATTCAACGTTAAAAGAAACAGCTCCTCAAACTGTGATGACAAACTACAATAAACACCTTTGCAAAAAAAATTAATACACAATTACCTTATTGATCACTTGCAATGTAATTAGGGGTAATGTATTAAAAGTTAGTCTAATACTCTTTAATATATTCCATAGGTATTGCTTAAAGGTGCGCGCGGAATCCTCCTAGGGTCTGGACCCATCAGAGAGGTCAAAGTGTTAAGATTCCACTTAGAAATCTGAAATCTGAGTTGGTTCTCTCTGTTTCTGTAACTCCCACATCTAATCTGTCACTCAAGCACTTCAATTCTACCTTAAAATTTGATAACGTACAATTTACCCCTAGTTTTAGATACCTAATATGCTTCCAACTTTTTCATCACTATCGACGGATACTACAAGAAACACTTTTATGCTTTTACTCTTCTGCAGGAACATTCATGTAATGGGCTAGTAGACAACTATGGTCATCATCAAGACTAAAGTAATCTGGAAAAATAGTAAGGAGATAATAGAGTAAAAAGAAGTAAAACACTCAAATATTTCTAAGCTATGATTACAACTCTATAATTAAAAATATGAACAAAGACAAGAGAATACGATTATGGACCCTTTTATCTTTGCTAAAATTGTGATTCTAAAAGAAAAGTGAAATTAAGTTTGTGTTAGTGTTATTTTTATTTAATGCAGAAATCAAGACCACCTAGCCTGAGTAGGATGGAACTGCCCCTCGGCATTACAGGATACGGCCCCCTGTCTCATGTGTGCCTCTTCCAAGCCCCCACCCTTCCTACACTGGTTGCTGCTCTGGACTCACCTAAACATACCCAGCATTTCACGTCTTTGCCTGGAACACCCTATCTATCCCTCCTTGCCTAGTAAACTCCTACATATCCTCTGAAATTCAGTTCAAAAGTCTACATCCTGTGAGGCATTCCGTGATCTCCACAGAGAAGCTCCAGGTTCTGTCTCCCTACCTGGTCGCCTGCACAGGCCACATCTGCTTGTGGCACTTACCACGGGGTGGCGCGTACCCGGTTATCAGGGTCTGTCTGGCTCCCTGCGTTACAATCCCCTCAAGGACAAGGACCCAGTCTTAATCATCGAAGTACCCCAAGTTCCTAGGAGACATGTGGACCCTAGAAGCCTCCACATGTGCCGGACACAGCCAGAACCAAGTTCCTTTATTCTGTTTATCTGAGAAGTTTTGTCCTCTCACCCAGGCCAATGTCAAACTTGTCTCCAAATAACTGCCTGTCCTCGTACGTGTTCTGTCACCAGACAACATGAAGCACTCATCAATTTGACATAAAATTTCCCTTAATTCTTAATACCATTTCAAAGTCTTCACCTACTTGCTAAATCTGGCTTCTTTCTTAAGATAACAAAGACCTTACTGGCCTCTCCAAGAGGTATATTATGCCTTCTTAAAATCCACAAGGAGGGTGCCTGGGTGGCTCAGATGGTTAAGCGTCTGCCTTCGGCTCAGGTCATGATCCCGGAGTCCCGGGATCGAATCCCGCATCAGGCTCCCTGCTCCTTGGGAGCCTGCTTCTCCCTCTGCCTCTCTCTCTCTCTCTGTCTCTCATGAATAAATAAATAAAATCTTAAAAAAAAAAAAATCCACAAGGAAATAAAAAAGAATCTGTATCCTTCTTGCCAACTGCCACTTCCAGAATATTGCTGAACTGCAGTATTTTTAAAAATATTTCCTTTTTTCAAATTTCACAAAATCTACCTATGATGCCTTCCCCCCCCCCCTTCTGGTGTCATGGATTGACTTCTCAGAAACTCCTAAGAACAAATAAATGATTTTATCACATGGCTCATTATGCCTTGCCATTATTCTTCCAACTTTAAAATGTGTATCAATGCCTTTTCTATCAACGTAATATCCTACAATTGGAACAGTTTGAGGTCATGCTCATGAAACTCCCCTAAGGTGAAGTCACAATTGCCATCACTGGCAGGCATTGCTCTACCTCCAAGATCTTGAAATCAGAAAATCTCCTGTACAACAACCACTCATGCCCCAATTACCCAACATGAATTTTCATTGTTGTTGGTCCTGCTATTTGTCCCCATCATGATCCCTGGTCCCTTTATTCTATGAAATTTCACAGTCCATCACGAAAAGCTGTATCTACTCTTCCACTTTGACCCCTCACTAAATCGTTTCAATAACATGGTTCCCTCACTTGCTTTATCTGACTTCCCCAATTTCTCACCCTGGTAATTGCCAGTTTCCTTTTGAGTATTTATTATTACTAGACAAAAAATAAAAAATCAGGAAGACTTTTACATGTACACTTTCCAACCATGACTCGGTCTGCTTTACAACTGAGATATTTTACTCACCTTTGACTGACTCCCTAGGACACCACAGTGGTCCCAAGACTGGTTTCAAACGCTAATATCCTCAAACCATCCACTTGCTACAAATGTAGCATCCATTAGTCATTCTGAACAAGCAAGATGGCATACTAACAATAAACTCTGCCCTTTGCCTAGCAAGTAGGCTGTAAAACCCAGAAAATGGTTTATAGCCCTAAGTGACAGGGAGGTATCAACTTGGCAGAAGAGAAGTTAAGAGTTTCACTGTTCTCTTGGACTTGGATGACACATATAACTTGTTTCCCTGACACTTTTCTATTTCTAATGCCAACCAGTGTTCTGAAAAAACTAAGCAATCCCACACATTTCCGGCTGTCTGAAATCCAGCCAACAGCTGACTTTACTCCCCCTTCCCTAGTGCCAGGGACTGAGAAGCGAGGTAGCACCTGCTTCAACCAGGCAATGGGAAGATGACGGCAGGATGTCTTTTGAAGCACAACCCCCAATTCTGCAGAAGGTATGGACACGATCCCAAGAAACTGGCAGGGTTGCTAGATAGTCTCTAGAAGTGTGTGACAGCTGCAGAGCACACCCCCCCACCCCCGGCAAAGTAGTATCCACACTGACCAGGCAGCAGTGGGTGGGGAGGGAGAGCCAGGCAGGCCAGAGTGTGCAACCAGCATCTACCTTCGGGTGATGTGCATGGAGAGCCATTGCAACGCCTGCCATGGGCAGTAAAGAGCGTAAGGAATAACCTCCGATGTTCCCAAGAAGTGATCGCCAACTGCTTGTTTCAGGCAAATCTGTAAAGGGAAGTGCCAATCCCCACGGTCTGGGATGGAGGTTATAAGTTACAGCCCTCACACCCTTCAGTAGGTTGGCTGGAGCAGAAGTCCGCAGTTTCAAAAGGAAAGTCATCCAAAGGTCCCCTAATAGACAAGAGGCACCCCAACAGCTTCCTGTCCAGGTTTCTCCCTCCTTAAGCCTAGTACTGCTTAGCCAATTAAAAAAAGTTTCATTCTGGGGCGCCTGGGTGGCTCAGTTGTTAAGTGTCTGCCTTCGGCTCAGGTCATGGTCCCAGGGTCCTGGGATCAAGCCCCGCATCGGGCTCCCTGCTCGGCGGGAAGCCTGCTTCTCCCTCTCCCACTCCCCCTGCTTGTGTTCCCTCTCTCACTGTGTCTCTCCTCTGTCAAATAAATAAATAAAATCTTCAAAAAAAAAAGTTTCATTCTGTTAGGGAGGATCTTATAACATGTTTTGTCTGCCGAACAACAAACTATGCACTATAAATGTGAGACTACATTAGAAAACAAAATAAAAATGCAAATGAAAAAAATGAAACGTTTTATGTATTTCTTTCTTTCTTTTTTTTTTTTAAGATTCTTATTTATTTATTTGACAGAGAGAGAGCACAAGCAGGGGGAGCGGCAGGCAGAGGGAGAAGCAGGCTCTGGCTAAGCAGGGAGCCCAATGCGGGACTCCATCCCAGGACCCTGGGATCACGACCCCAGCTGAAGGCAGATGCCCAACCAACTGAACCACCCAGGCACCCTGTTTTATGTATTTTGTAATGATAAATGAAGAACAAGGAAATTTCAACAGAGTCCTCTATAGCAAGATCCAAAGACAGTTTACGCTGAGATTTATTTCTACTATATCTGACGGAATATCTAACACTTGTATATACTCTATATGTATTTGTTAACATGCTCGAGTCTTTAGAAAACAGATAAATGAATTCCCACTCAGTAGATGATGAAGTTGCCAAGAAATAAAATGACTAAATTTAAGAGCAAGCATCTACTGAACTAAAAACATACAAGAGACAAAAAGAATGAGGTCCTACTTTAGCCACTGAGTTGTTTGTTTTTAAAGGTTTTATTTATTTGACAGAGAGAGAGAGAGACAAGAGAGAGAACACAAGCGGGGGGGGGGGCGCAGAAGAGGCAGAGGGAGAAGCAGGCTCCCAATGGAGCAGGGAGCCTAATGCAGGGCTCGATCCCAGGACCCCGGGATCATGACCTGAACTGAAAGCAGACACTTAACTTGCTAAGCCACCCACGTGCCCCTAGCCATTGAGTTTTTTAAATATCTCAGGCAGTAAACAGAAAATATCCTATCAAAACATATTTAAGAACTAATGCCTTTAAATTGTGCAAGACTGTTGAATCACAGATCTGTACTTCTGAAACAAATAATGCAATATATGTTAAGAAAAAAAAAGAAGAAGAAGGAGAAGATAGCAGGAGGGGAAGATTGAAGGGGAGTAAGTCGGAGGGGGAGACGAACCATTAGAGACGATGGACTCTGAAAAACAAACTGAGGGTTCTAGAGGGGAGGGGGGTGGGGGGATGGGTTAGCCTGGTGATGGGTATTAAAGAGGGCACATTCTGCATGGAGCACTGGGTGTTATGCACAAACAGTGAATCATGGAACACTACATCAAAAACTAATGATGTAATGTATGGTGATTAACATAACAATAAAAAATTATTTTAAAAAAAACAAATAAAAAAAAAAAAAAGGAACTAATGCCTTTAAACCAAGTGAATCTGAGACTAGTTTCCTGAAGAGTAAAAACTGTCAATCACAACACACCATCGTGAAGGCGACAAAGGCAACAGTTCTACCATTTATTGGGTGCGCCCTTTGTCCCAGATATGACACTCCAGGGACTTCACACACACAACCAGTTCTCATGTTAACCCTGCAAGGTAATATTACTGCTTCCACGCTCACAGATGTGGAAACCAAGGCTCAGCAAGTGAAGGGACACATCTAGGCTTACATGGATACAAAGAGGCAGAGCATTTTTGGGTCTAAAGCTCTTTCTGTTATAACCAACTTTTTAAACCTGCCTGAAACAGTCTATTGTCTAACAATTCAGTCAGAAACTTTCCCAACTTCAAACATTACTACATTTACCTAAGTATATGCTTTCTCAATACCTCTGGGGAATAAAAAACATGCTGACATATTTAAAGAGGAAGATGTTGTCAGAATGAAGGAAGAGTACAAATTCTTGTGAAAGGTAATCAAGTATTTGGAAATGAAGAATGTGGCTTCTAAACAATGACTTGCTTTATTGTAGGTCACTAGCAGGTACCACAGTCCACATTAATTCTAGCTGCATAGTGACAGACTTGTTAGATGGGAATTTATGCTGGAAGGTAAGAATTTACCTCTAACAAAGATGTTACACATAGAATCAAATTACTACTTGGCATGTTACTTATAATTCTAGATCCCACACAGTAACACTGAGGAGTGGCTTTTGGCTTCTGATCTTTGAAATATATTCACTGCTTTAACTAAAACTTATAAAGAACCACACTCACTCTCGTCGTGGGATGCTAGTAAGTTGAACTGTGAAATGGTTTCAACAGTATCTAACAGAATTTTGAGTTACTTTTGCCAACAATAATCTTTGAACACAAGTCTAACAAAAATATGATTATCTGTCTCATTTCCCTATGACTCTAAGGTTAAACTCCTTTTCAGAGGAAATAATATGCAAGGTTCCCTATAGCGATAGCAGGTTAAAAAGCAAACCTCTCAAGCTTGGAATCTCTCTCCGCAAACAGCACACACTATACATTCATGTGCTGAAATAACAATGACTTCTTATGGGTAAGAGGTCGGGAGGGGAGGATGGGTGAAGCAATCAAATAAAAACGGAAAGGATCAGGCATAAACTTCAGCAGAACTCTACAAAGTCTTGAAATAAATTTGCCCTGATCGCTCTGGGATTACCTAAGGTAATTCCTACTGATTCAAACTTGATTGGATAATAGAGCAGTAAAGTGATTTTCAAATTAGTTGGATCTCTATTATTTACCAGGGTAAAATCAAGACACACCAATTTAGAAATTATTTACTTGTAACTAGTTCTTTAAAAAAAAAAAAAATCTTTCTAAACTTTTTTCTATTTAGCAAATTCTACATTCCCAACCCAGATCTGTTTCCTAAACTCCAGACTTCTACATCTAACTGCCCCCTTTACATCTCCACTTGGACATATGTATCTGAAATTCAGCATGTCCCAACTTTTGCCCCCAAATCTGCCACCCCCTCAGTCAGGCCTACACAGTAAATGGCAATCTCATAAGCCAAAACTTGAGTTCTCTTTGATAACTGTCCTTGAATCCCCCACAATCAATCCATCAGCAAAACCTGTTTACCTTACCTTCAAAAATACATCCAGAAACAGACAGGTTCTCTGCACCATCCCCGCTAGAGTCTAGTCCAAGCCACTGGAGGATTAACGTAACCTCCTAACTGGTCTCCCTTACAATCTAGTCTCAACAGAGCAGGCAGAATGATCCTGTCACAACTAAAATCTGATACTATTCTGCTCAAAAGTCCAGTGGCTCCTCCTCTGGTTTGGTATCAGTTCTAATGTCATTCAGTTCTATATAAATGAGCCCTTAAACCCAACACCACCTAATTTCAGAAAACCTGTCCACCTATTTTGACACAAACAGAATGAAGTACACAAGCAATTAAGAAACAGAGATAAGATTCTTCTGGTCTAAGACGGTGCAATATTTCCATCATTCAATCCCCTCCTCTCCCAAATTCCCAGTGAAACAATCAGAGAAATATACAACTAGAGAAAAAAATCTTCAAGGTAATAACTTAAAAGCGACTGCGGGAAGGACTAGACTGATGGAAAGGCTGACCAACCCCAACCTGAGCCAACTTGGGGACAAACATACAAAGGTTCAGGTCAAGGTGATAGCACATAGGGACAATCTCAGTTCCGTTAAATGCACTCTGGGACGTGCTAGAGGCGTGAGCACGCAGAACAAGAATGTGCAGAAGAAAACTCTAATATGGCTGGAACTTAACAAGAACGAGTGTGCCACACAAAACAGTGAGATGGTGTACCAGATAACTTTAGGATAGAAAATCAATGTTTCAGAGTAACAGAGACATTCCCTGTCACACAGAATTTCCTGCTAGAGCGTTCTCCTCTATCATCACAAGCAACAGACTGCTAATCCTGCAAATGTAAGATATGACAAATATCAAATTATTCCCTTACATTACCGGGGACTGAAAATTTTAAACAATGTATAAATATAAAATATGTAATTTCTAAAAATTAAGTTCCATTAAAGTTATAAATACTAGTTTAATAAGGAACAAAGCTATTGTTAAAAATCTATAGCTGCAACTTGTTGAAAACGCAGATGTGCTCTAGCATCTCTAGCTAGAAGAGAGCTTGATTCCACTTTCTCTGTGGGAAGCCCCGGCACCTTCAATGGAACAGTGTTTGCCGCCTCACTGACATTCGATTTGCTCCCCGTCGGGCAGGAACTCCCTCCCGGAGCTCCACAAGCATCCCTCGCTGTGTCTACAGTAGCAGCCCCATCACCGAACACGCATGCTCTTTTCCTCCCTCCTGATCCTCGTCTGCCCTCCGCCCATCTCTCTGTTCCCCTTGGTAAGCAAACCTTACAGACAAGGGCACACCTGTACTACTGCCACTAGCGCACCTTCCACATCCACCTTCCACTCACTACGATCTTATTTCTGGCCCCCTAACCAATCCACTGAAAATGCACGCCTGGGGCACCTCAGCTTTCTCCACCTCTAGCAGCATTTCACGCGGTTGGCTCATGAAACACTGCCTGCACTTTGACCAAGAAACACCGTTTCCAAAGAATACAGAATCACATCCTGTGAGGCAGTAGTATTCTGTAGGAAACAATGACCCCGGAAACACAAACAGGTCATGGCTACCCATAATGAAGCCCTGGGTCAGCATGTATCTGGTGAGCAGGGTGGCTAAGGAAAGAAAGGGTGGCTGTGCGGGGAAACCATGAGAGATTTAGGAAGCCTGGTCAGCAGTGACCAGCTGTGCAAGTTGACGCATGCGATTCCAAATCCCAAGATGAATCTGGGCGCGGACAGCAACCGTGCTCACGTCGTCCCAGCAGCCACACTGGTAAAGCACACGTGAGCTGTGACAGCTGCTGATCGGTTATTGGGGGGAAAACAGTTTTTAATGTACTGAACTGCAACTGTGAAAACATACGCTGCACTGTATTAAAAACTGTCTTTTAAGATCAAGGGCTTTTTCAGAGTAAAAACTAAACTCCAGAAATGAAGTTACTCTGAAACAAAATCAGGCCCCAGTAATTGGGTAAATCAGCCTTTACGCTCATTACCACACTACATTTCTCTATATTTCTCATGTGTTCTACCTGACCCCTCCTCAGACAAAAGGACTGTTAAGACAGTGAATGAAATGAGGTGTCATGCGTCCCATTCTTCACGTTATCACTGTTAATGCTGACGGGCACAATTTAGATAACATGGAAGTACAAAACTTTTCTCATTGATTTTATCATACTATAAACTTATAGTACATTCACAACAGATGATGAACACATTAAATATATATTAATTTCGAAATAATAACGTTTATAACATCCTCATTATTTAATGAAATGTCAATCCCTAAAATACACATGATTAAATACAAGGCCCTGGTTATACCATTTTTTTTCCTCCATATCTCCACCCTGAAACATCTTCCACACAGTAATGAAACACACCTGGTTTCTTCCTCTGCGTTTTCCATAATTCCTTCTTACTAAGGCTTTATAATTCTCATTTTTCTTGGTTAAGTAGTAATATAAAACACAATCAGGAACACTCTATAAGGAAAAAAAATTATTTTTGAGGAGCCAAAGAAATAACATTTTTTAAAAATCAAGCAACACTTTCAAGGGAAATCTCTGGTATTCTCAAGGTACAAATTAAAGAGCAACACATGGCTAGCATTTTAAGGGATATCTAGGCTGTAAAAATATATACATTACATCGACTATTTTAACGGACAATTACAGTGATCTTAATCCAAGTTACGTAAAAGATACCAGGAACTATCAGAACATTCAAGCACTTCCTTACTAAGCAGTAACTAAATTCTCTTTCTTGTTGCATATATGTAAATATCCAGAATGTCTTCTTTAAATATGTTGCTTAAAAACACTACATCCAATCCATTGTGGAAAAAAAAAAAATCAGGGAAAATCAGGACTCTGATATTTTAATCAGAAAATCAGTAAGGTTCAAAAAGCATTGTAATCTATGTGTTTTTAGGGAACTATAGTATCAAGTCGTTTTTTGTTAACCATGAAAATTAGACTGTGTTCTGTGCTTATGATCTGTTACGTAATTATAAATATCACTATATTAGTCACCTGAGAATCTTTCCTGTATCAAGCCCTCTATAAAAATCAGTTCTATTTAACTACCTGTGTATTAGAGCACAAAGACTTCAAAGTAGCGAACATCACAAACCTATAAACATTCTCAATGCAAACCATTTCTTACCTTCCTTTCCAAGTAGGATGCAATTAGTCCAAAGTTTTTTGGATGCTGGATAAACCTGAGTAAAAAAAAGGGAAAACAAACAAACAAACACATACACACAAACATTTTAATGACTTAAAAAGGGTGGGGGGGGACCTCGGGAACAGAACTATTAGTACCGACTACTTCCCGGTGACCCCTAACTGCCAACCTGAGAAACAACCACAGAATCGCTGGAATCTTTTAAGGGCACAGATTTCTGGGCACCATCCACCAGGAACCGATGGGACTGGCCTATGGTAGAGCACAGAAACCTTTACTTTTAAAATGCACCCCCAGGTGAATGAGACACCACCCAAGTTTGGGTACCACGCTTAACATGACTTCATAACCCCAGTTCTCGTCTGTGACCGATCCTCCCATCTATACGCTTATGGGAAGGTCATAGCAAATCTATATTCTCTACCTTCCACAGTATCCATCCAAATGCCAAAAAGGGGCCAAGGTTTTGGGGAAATGGTTCAATTTACAAGTGAATGCCAAATACTTTTCATGAATTTATGTAAGCTTCTATAAGAAAATAATTTAAAGTTTAAATTACTTGTCCTTAAAGATCTCCTTCTCGTGGTCAGTCCAAACATTCATAAACTGCCTATCTTTATAAACCTTCATAGGGTCCTCCATGAGCCCATTCATGTTGATGAACTTGACCCGTCTCTGTTCTGCATCAAACATCATAGGCGGGATCACAGAGAGCTGCCGCATTTGTTTCTCATTATTCTGCAAAAGAAAGTAAACACCATTTACGAAGAATAAAATGTAAAGAGGGCTATAGACCAGCTACCCTAATATACGCCAGAAGAACCACATGCGTAGTTTCCTGTGTCAATAGCATGTGGTAACTACACATATATCTAATAAATATTCATTAAATGAATCATACAGAGGGTATACACATTATGTTTTTATATCCCACTCCTATAATTGGAGAAGAGTTCTTTACGTAAAAGAAATAGATACTTCAGATAGTAACATTTCAGACCTAAAGGACACAAAGAAATGCCAAGTTCATTGAAGTAATGATCTTATGAAACATTTAATTATATTAACACAGTCTCATTTTTAAAAGTCTTAACATCATTTTAGAGAATAAATCTTAATGTCATTTTGGAGACCAATGAATAGGGGAAAAAAACAGGCACCAAAATCTTAAGGACAATGATTTTAAGTTAAACTCACGTGTGAAATACTTCTTGCTAATCTTATGTAATCTTTGCACTGAAAATTGAAGACTATTGTCCTTAAAATTTCAGCTAAAACTTCGTTACATCTATACAGTTGGTTTTTCCCAAAGTTCAATTTAGTAAGTTCATGAGCACAAATTTCTATGAAAAAACTCACCAAAACTACAGGTATTGACCTCAACACAAAGCTAGGTTTTCTCCTAAAACGTTTCCTCATAGAAGTGGATACTGCCTTACAGTCAAGTCCTTACAAAGTGTCAAATTTTATGGGGTACTCTCAGTCAGTCTGAACACCAAAGCATGATTTGAGGCAGACACATGAGCTTGAGTCACCTCAACTGGTCCTAGTTTTGGATGCTTACAGATGTGCCCTAATGGAATCAGTTAAAAAGCAAGCAAAAAAAATTAACACAGATTTATTTAGTCATCACTGCAGGGATTACGAACACAAGTGTTTTTTTTTTATTATGTTATGTTAATCACCATACATCATCAGTTTTTGATGTAGCGTTTCATGATTCATTGCTTGCATGTAACACCCAGTGCTCCATGCAGAATGTGCCCTCTTTAATACCCATCACCAGGCTAACCCATCCCCCCACCCCCTCCCCTCTAGAACCCTGTTTGTTTTTGAGAAGTTTTAAAATATATAGCATTTAGTAGTTTCTTTGATCATTACTTAAGGAGACCACCACATTCAAATAAGCAAGACCTTCAGAATTCAGAGATGAGGTTTTCTGGTGTTGTGTTGTGTTTTGTTTTGTTTTTTAATTGAAGTACAGTTGACACCAGAGATGAGGTTTTTATTTATTTTTTATTTTTTCAGAGATGAGGTTTTTAAAAAACAAGTATATAAAATCAAAACCAGAACTAAGTAAACAGGAGGTGGCTTTTGGACCAACAAATAGTTTGAACACAGCTCAGAAGACTCGTGTTAGGGACTGGAATTTATTTTTATTCAGCATGGATTTATTGATGCCATATCATCTCTGTCTCCCAGGCTTCTGGGGCTAGAAAGCACACTTTGGGGAACCCACTAGCACCTCAGGTCCACCTCAGATGAAATCTCTCTGGTCAGTCTGCTCCTACACATCTCTGATTCAGGCTCTTGTTTTCATGTTAACAGCCTCCTCACATCTCTTTTAGGCCTCCCTGCTGCCAAAGCCATCCGTGTAAGATGCCAATCTGATCATGGGACTGCGTGGTGTAAAACCTTCAGTGGTTGGCCAGTCTTTGGAACAGTCCAAACTCTATAAATGTTCCCTCATTTATGCACAAATAAGCCCTTAGTTCCTGGGGTATGAGGCTAAAATGCCTGAATAATCAATGAATTAAAAAACTAAGTCAATTAATTTCCTTACCTCCTGCTCAGAGAGCCCATCAATAATTTCAGAAATCTCATGCTCGCTCCTAGCAATGGTGGCTGAAAGACCAGCTCCCCTCTGCCCAACTCTAAATATAAGAAAGAAATTATAAATATATTTAAAGGCCATTTATAAAGAAGACACCAATTAAGTTACTTTTATATACATTACTCCTCTGAATGGGACTTTTTTAACCAACTAGAAGTCAGAAAACAAATGCTATTGAGCCACTACTTTTAAGTAATATGCCTGAAGATTAGAATTCTATAGAAGAATGATTAAAACGTTGAGATTAGGGGCTCCTGGGTGGCTCAGTCATTAAGCATCTGCCTTCGGCTCAGGTCATGGTCCCAAGGGTCCTGGGATCGAGCCCCGCATCGGGCTCCCTGCTCAGCAGGGAGCCTGCTTCTCCCTCTCCCACTCCCCCTGCTTGTGTTCCCTCTCTCGCTGTCTCTCTCTGTCAAATAAATAAATAAAATCTTTTTTAAAAAATAAAAATAAAATGTTGCGATTAAAATTTAAAGGTTACATGTCCAAGTTCAAACGGTAGAACAACTTATGGGAAACTTCTGGAAAACCACAGGTATTGGTTGGAGACGTTTCCATTTCAAATAGCAGTCTTTGCCTTCCAGAGTAGAGGACAGCTGACTTAGAAAAATACATTAAATATTTTTTACAGAGGGGAAAAAAACAACAACCATCTCCCTCACAAAGACTTAATCATGATTAAAGAATTAAAGCTTATATATAATCTTACAAGAGATAGTGGAGAAGAAATCCAAAACTTTTACTTTTACAAAATACTTGCTCTGTAAAGTAAAACCAAATCAGAAACTACCAATATCAAAGAACTTCTTAATTAGCCATCTATTTAATACTGTTTAGTCATGCTGGCAGGTAATGAAGAACTAAGAAATATTCAAGTCTATTCTTTTTAACTGTCATTTCTAAAGGAATAGGTATTTTCAAGAACAGAAGAATTAATTTCAAAATACTCATTTAAATTTAGATTGAACAGCATTAAGTATAAAAAATTAGTATTAAATTCACCGAGACATAATCTTTGCTAGCTGATTGAAGTTTTATATTCAAAATGAAAGGTTCTTTATGAACTTTCTTAAGATCAGATTCAGGTAACCATTAACACCGTGCGAGAGCAGGAGTGGGACTCTGTCAGAGAGGAAAGAACACAGCCGTTAGCCATCAAACGACTTACCGCTGAAATCTTTCTTGTTGTTCTCTTTGTTTTCGAATTTCTGGAAACTGCTTTTCATAGTATTCCCTTGTTTTGCTTTCTTTAGCTTTCCTCCGGGGGTTATTTTCTATTCTGTCCACTTTTTTCTCCCATGCCTCCATGAGCTGATCATAACGTTGGCAGATTTTTTGTTCCTATTAAATACCCGCAGCAAATTAATAATTAAACTAAACTCTGTCATTCTGACAAACCTAATACTTTAAAGTAAATGTTACTTCTTAAGGCTAAGTCAGAAGTACATTTGGCCTAGGACTCAACTATGAATGAAAAGCTGTTCTTGATCTGAAAGACGAGAGAGAGAAAAGAGCTCTGTTTCCTACAAAGATGAGCATATAAAGCATATTTTGGCTAGATTTTTTTAGTTAACGTTAAGACTAACATAGATTAATTAATTAATGAGCTACTATTAGTAGCTGACCAGCTACTTTTATTATTTTCCTGATAAAAATATACGTCTTCATTGTCAAAAAAAAAAAAAAAAATGGAGGGGCACCTGGGTGGCTCAGTCGGTTAAGCAGCTGCCTTCGGCTCAGGTCATGATCCCAGGGTGCTGGGATCGAGCCCTGCATTGGGCTCCCCATTCAGTGGAGAGCCTGCTTCTCCCTCTCCCTCTGCCTGCCTCTCTGCCTGCTTGTACTCTATCTCTCTGTCAAATAAATAAATAAAATCTTTAAAAAAAAATGGAAATTAGTAATAGAGACAAGTGAATAGTTCAAAATCCCAATCACCCAACAGCAAATATACTGACATTTTGGTGTTTTCCTAACAATCTGTCAGAGAAAACACTCATGCTTTAACCGTTCCTCTACTCCTGGAGGCTTTGATTACTTGAAGGTTTTTGTTATTATAAAGCAATGCTATCTAATAAACATTTTTGACAGTCTGGAAAAGGCAGAAATTGGTTGTACTTTATGATAAAAAGAAATGTAGTGAACTACACGAAACCAAGAATTAATCCTTTTAGAGAAATGAGTAATGTATGATCTCATTTTTTAAACAGAGAGGCAAGAAGCCTCCATTATGAGCATAGAACTGTGAACGTGTCAACAACACAAAGATAGAAAAAGGTGTAGAAAGACTCATGAAAAGCCATTAACATTGGTCCCTTCAAGAAAGTGGCAATAGAGAGGAGAATATTATCCTCCTCATGATCTGTGCCACCCCCAGACACTTCCCAATCATTCTTTTCAACTCCCAGGTGTCTTCTGTGTCCTTCACTTTCTCCATCTCTAGCTAGCTCCTCAGTCCAGGCCAACATCATCCCTTACCTACATCAAAGTAAGAGCCTCCGAACTGTCTCCCAGGCCTTCTTAATGGTGGAGCCAGAAGCACTTTCTTAAAATACAAACCTGAACGTTTCACTTCTCAGTTCAAACACTTATAAGATGCCCTCGGGACCAAACCCAAAGTCCTGTAAGCGGACCTCCTGGGTGCGACCCGGCCCTCTTGCCTCAGCAGCCTCATTTCTGCTGCGCTCCCAGCAACCTGCCACCCTCCCTCCACCTCCCAGACCTTCATTTCAGCAGCTCCCTGTGCCTGCTCAGATTTCCAGAGTTTCTCGTTGTCCTGTAAACTTCCCTTTATGATTCATCCATGGGGCATTAGCTGTCCCTCCTGTATGCTCCCGCAGTCATCTGTATGTCCCTTCCCACAGTGTGATTACGATACTCTAACTGCCTGTGACTCATCTGCCCCCAGTTACATTGTATGCTTCAAGGGTTAAAACCATATGGCTATCTTGCTCACCTTTGTAGAATAATACATGGACAGAGTAAACAGCCAATAAATATTTATTAAACAAATCAGTGAACACGTAAATGTTATAACTAAAGACTCTGTGAATGAAGCATGAAAACAAAGTCTATGCTTCTATGTTTGCATCACCAGACATTAAATGACCACAATTATAACAGAATTACTGGATAGGAAAAAAAAAATGCTTTAGTAGTTTCTTATTTAATATTTGTATGTTTTTGGCAAAAACAAAAACAAAAAACATTAATTTAAAGATAGTATCTGAAGGACCAGACTGGCAAATTACATTGGAAGTTAGGTATCAAGTAAAAGCCGCTGACTCTTGAGCTTTACAATTCATTTAACTGTCACGTCATTAAATAGAAGGTACACGGCTCATTTTTGATGTGAATTAAAGAACATCATTTATTTGGTAAGCAACTGACTTTAAATGAATCAACAGTCTGTCTAAATTTAGTCTGAACATATTGTGAAAAGAAGTATATTGGCATTTTATTTTCTGTAGCTTCATTTCCATGAACATTAGAACCACAAAACTTCTGGATGCAAGTCATATAATAAATATGAAAAAGAATCTGAATTTCAAAAAGCTGAACTTTAGCTGACCCGGTACCTAATAAGAAAGAACAGTAATGTCTACTCAGCATGACTGTAACTTACCCACACTGGTCTGAGGGTTTAAGAGACTAAATGTTGATCATCCTATTTCTCTTTCATATTCTTTTTTAACTACTCACCATTTTCTTTATTTTGGCTAGATGAAAATGCTATACACAGATGACCAAAGAAATTATTTTGATAATGATATTAAATGTCAATCACTGCTAGAATTGGATTTATATTTAAGTCATCTCTATAGTTACTTTCTAAATCGGCAGCCTTTTCTCAAACATAATCAAAAACCATTCTCACTAATAAAGGGAAAGTAAATGCCTAAATGAGCATGAATGGGAAAGTTGTACAAATTTCAGTTAAAGGATAGGACCTCACCCTTTGTTTTCTTGCATGATTTCTTCTTTTAAAAAATAAAATGAGTTTTTTCCTCATCACCTGGTTTCTAGAAGAGAAAAATATGGTTGTATGACATTAAGAAAAAGCACAATTTAATAATGCATTCACTTTTTTGTTTCAGAGACACTGAAAAACAAGCAAAGATCACTTAGGAATATCTGATGTAATCAAAGTTAATCTTAATTTTTTTCACCCTGCAAAATAAGACTTTTGCAATAATTAGAACTAAAATTCCTTCCACTCTCCAGCAAGATTTTATACAAATTGTTCATTTTCAATTATTACATCCAAGTATAAGGCAAATTGTTTCAGGTTATAATTACACAGTCACTGATTCTTCTCAAGAACTCTCGTGATATAAACATCTCTGTGCACTCTTGGAGGCGGGGAGGTAGAAGAGAAGGAAAGGCTTTTAAAGTTACCTCCCTACCTCAGGTACGGTGCTGACCTCCCTTCTATGATGAGAACGTATACCAACATAGAGAGAGGGGACTTCTGCTTTTACACAGAAGATTTCCTTCCATCACAGAAATGACACAAACCACTCTAAAAAGTCACGGAGGGCAATGTGACAAGACAGGAAGACTTCTCTTAGATCTTAATGAAACAGTTACACTTTTTAAATTTAAAGCATTATGACCTTCAAAAACAATGACATGCAGGTTCAAATATAAATATTTATACCCCACCTACTTCCAGAAAGGATTTCAAGCTGATTATGCAAATATAAATACAAAGCCAAGGCAAGTAGAAGTAATTTTTTGGATTATCGGCCACTCAGGACTAACAGTGACACTGGCTCTGTGGGCAGTCAGGAGCTGGCTACATGGAAGAGTACCCAAGACATGAAAAGAATTATCAAAAGGTAGATTTGCTATTTCATACAAAGCAAATGACGGTGATGAGAAAAGAGCTACTACACGATTCATATGGATGCATGCAGCTGAGTAAATGGTTACTTCACAAGGTGACATACAGTGGAAGTAGTACCATATATTCAGTTTGCTCTAATTTTAATTACGTGTTACTCAAAAGCAAATGATAATCAATAAATATCATTTAAAATGTTTCCTAGGATTTAAGAAGTCAGCCAGTCAGTAAGCCATCCCAGAACAGTGTCCTAAGCACTGTAGTCGGGCAATGTAGACAGCATGAAATAAATCAGACAGAGCTGCTCTGCCGCTAATATTAGGGGAAAAAGACAGAACACAAACATAACTGAAGCTTTGTGGGGAAAAAAAAATCATTAAAAGTAGCCAACTAGATTTTATCTGCTATTCTCCTTTTTAAAAATGCTAAAACAGCTAAACAGTTCCAGAACAAGGTATATTTTATGAGTTTTGTCTAAGCCTACTTCTAAGGGTTGTCAAGACCATAGCAGCATCTCACAGAAAAATTCTAAGTATAGGACTTTTATTATAAACCACTTATTTAACAAAAGTTAAAATTATTCAAATTTCAATTTTGTTCATGCATACTACCATGCAAATTATATTTGCCACCAATTCTGCAAAGTAGTCAACTATTGCACATATACTCTCAGTCAGAAATTTTTTAAAAGAAAAAAATATATCTGATATATAAATAGCAATGTGCTCATTAGTAACTATACTAGTAAATAATTAAAATGTTCTGATTATCCTTAATAAAACATAAAGTAGAAATATTACATTTTTGTTACAAACTATGAATAATTCACCTAAATTCTCTTAAAGTATGAAAATTAAAAAAAAAAAAAGATACCTATCTAGCCTCCTCTCTTACTTCAATCAGATCAAGAAATTAGATTTTCTTTTCACTTATTTTCTTATTCCAAAATCTGCATCCATAAAGGCCTGGTATCTAGGATGAGCAAGGCTAAGCAAACTACATTCTGGAGCAGTCTCCTCACCCACGTGAGGTGACTGAGCGCTTCCAAGGCACCAGGACATTAAATGGCAGAAGGGTCTACAAATACCGTCATTAGCAAGAGTCATGGAAGGGATTTCCCTAGAATAGGATTTTGAATAATGATAAAATGATCCGTGGCACTTCTACTTTGCAATGGCAGATGTGGCTTGGTGGGGGACGGTGTCATCACTAGTCTTAAATGAAAAAGCTTCATTATCTTACTTCATCATGCGCCTTGCAGGTACTCCACTGAAAAAAAGACAAAACAGGAGGCAAAAAATTCAAGCCTCAAGGTAAGCCATTTCAATGTTAAGTATTCACCTTTTTTACTAGCAGATCATAAAACCAGCTAGTTTTATGCAATAATTTATTTCATTTTTTTGGCCTCGGAAACTCAAAGCTGTTACCCCAACCCCCAAGAAGCCAGAGGAAGATAACATATAGTAAAACGACAGCAAATTACACAAATCTAAAACACACCTACACTATATTATAATAATGTCAGCAGATAACATAAAAACGATCTCTTTATAGAATATATGGTCTTTAACTGAAGAACTCCAAAGATGATAAATACTTACGTCTTGATGTTCTCATGATACACCTTGGTATCCGATGGCTGGTTATAGAGTGGCTGTAAAATAAATCAAATATTTACATATACAACATTGTACACATGTCTATGAAAATACAAAGCAACAGTTTATATTTTCATGTAAACCTAGTATTCATGGACCTTCACAATACCTACCCTACCAGAACCTCCAGACCTCCAGGTTCCCTGAATAATTCTCTTTACCCCATCTCCTATTAATGCCACTCCTGTAAAAATGTTTACAAATCCACCGTATCCCATAAGAAATACATTTATTCACGGATTTTTAATTTCAAAGGCAAAGGAAGAACATATGGTCCAAAGAGCTATTTCTGTTCTTACTTGTCCTGCTTCTACCTCATATGATTAAATGGCCTGCTCAGGCAAAAACACACTTCTGCAAAGGTAACCAAGTTTGTACACCACTATTTTAAAGTTTACCACAAACATACAGCCCAGATCTCATTCCAAAGTAGACAGATTGTATTCCATCTTATCCCAAGCAAAATGACTACCAAAAAAACAAAAACAAAAACAAAAAAACACTAGACATGAAAAAAGAAATTTCTTACTTACCAGTTCAACTTTTGGGCCAAGACCTTCAAATATTTTATGAGCTTCTTCTGCTTTTTTCTACAAAGACATTATAATATTGTATAATTAAAAATTATATTACCTAAGTGCAAAATCACTACCAATTTAATAATATTTACCTAAAACTACTCTATAGTAGAACTTTCCTTATTTCCAAATACTCTTGTCATATGGTAAGTTGAAATACTCTCTTTTGTTTTCATAACCTCCTCACCAAATTAAGTCAAAGCTTCACATTTGTACTGAAAGTAATAATAGGGGTGCCTGGGTGGCTCAGTTGGTTAAGCTGCTGTCTTTGGCTCAGGTCATGATCCTGGAGTCCTGGGATCAAGCCCCACGTAAGGCTCCCTGCTCAGCAGGGAGTCTGCTTCTCCCTCTGCCCCTCACCCCACTCTTGTGCTCTCTCTCACTTCTCTCTCTCAAATAAGTAAATAAAATCTTAAAAAAAAAAAAAAGAAAGTAATAACTAAAGAACTGTGAAGTTATTAACAGCAAACAGGTATCAAGATTCTAGGGAGAGGGAACACAGGTTCACTATTAGAAATGAATCCCTCAACACTTCCAAGACATAATGTCTTTAATAAAAATTTAAAAACATAAAATACCATAACGTTGCCAGTCTTTACTGTTGTAAGCCAAACTGATCTCTTGGAAGAAAAGCTTATAATGAGCCTATGTTCTAGTTACAAGAAAACCTAGGTGATAACTGAACTGAGGAAACAGCTAGTTTGAATTTCTCAAGTGTTCAATAGTAAATAAATGCTGAATTAAATATTTTTTACGGTCCATTTTCAAAAGTAAATTAATCTAGACCAATGTGCTATCTAACAGAAATCGTCCTTTAATAGACAAAATATAACAAATTCGAAGCTAAAGATGTTTAAACTGGAATTATAGGACTACCAAATGTGTCAGTGGTTCTCAAGTCCCTCTTCCTCTCAACACATTCCCGTTTGTAACAATGGTTCCCCGTCTGCTGGGCAGACGCCCACCTCAATGCATTTGCTCCTGGAAAACTCTCCAGGGCTTCTGATGTGACACACAAATGGGACTGGATATTAATCAGTATTCCCCAGGTGTAAAGAAAGATGTTCCTTTAAAATAAATATTCTCCTTTTCATCTCATTTATCAATCAAAATTAATCTGTCAAATACTTATTTAGTATGTATTGTGTGAAAAGAACTAGGAAGCATAAGAAGCACAAAATACTGTAAAGCACTTTCCAAACTCCAAGAAACTAAAAAGGTTGTTAAGATGAGAAATATAGAAAAAAAAGTCAAATATAAAACTATAAAAATCCATTAAATTGGCAGAGCAGACCCTATTTCTATAGAGAGTTTAAAGGCAGGATTTGTCAACCTTGGCACTATTACCATTTTGGCCCAGATATGTGTTCTAGGGACTGTCCTATGCATTGTGGGATATTTAGCAGTACCCCACTAGATGCCAGTAGCACTCCATCTGTCCTCCAAGTTACAACAATCAAAAAAAGTCTCCAGCTGAGAACAAACAACCTAAGAAGTCAAAATGTAATGATCATAAAATTCAGATTTGCTACAGACATATATTAAATAACACATAAACAACATCATCATAAATAATAAATTTGGAAATATCTAGCACCTGCAACTAACTTCCACCAGACCCAACACTCACCAATTTTTTAATTTGTTTTTTTTTTTTTTTTTTGAGCAATCTCTACACAACCCCGAGATCAAGACCTGCACACTCCACGGACTGAGCCAGCCAGGCACCCCTTAAATTTGCTTTCTCAAGGCACTCTGTATTAGAGTCTATACCAAGAACAGGCAGGCTAAGTGGAACTGTCTACAAATAACCCTGAGAAACAAGGGAGTAAAATTATATCATGACAAATACTAGTATCCGAATATGTAAAGACACTTGCCTTTTCAGAGCTAATTTTTAAAGCTAGTATTTAAGATGCTTGCAGACCCCAAGATTTAAGTTGTGCAAACTTGTATTAAACATTTGACTTCATGTTGGCTTAACTGCTAAGAACACATTAACCTATCAAGTTTGGCCAACAAAAATTTTAATTTAAAACCCTCACATTGGGGCACCTGGGTGGCTCAGTTGTTAAGCATCTGCCTTCGGCTCAGGTTCATGATCCCGGAGTCCTGGGATCAAGCCCCACATCGGGCTCCCTGCTCCGCGGGAAGCCTGTTTCTCCCTCTCCCACTCCCCCTGCTTGTGTTCCCTCTCTCCCTGTGTCTCTCTGTCAAATACATAAAATAAAATCTTTAACATGTTGATATGTTCTATGTGCCAGGCACTTACTAGACACTAAGAAGACAATGATAAGTAGGAGGAAAAGGGGTCTTGAAAAGCTTCATAGGGAAGATGACATGTGAGCAGGGCTAAAGTATAAGCACACTCAACAGACAGGAAAGACGAGACACTGAAATGCCTGGAGGCAGGGGGACATCCAGGGCTATCAGGGGAACATTCAAACCTATTCTGGTAGGATTGCCTTAAGAAAGGACAACTGGGCCAATGGCCAGGCAGGCAGGCCTGTAAGCACTGAGAAAAAGTTAAGGCTATTCTGCAAAAAGTGGGAAATAATCAAAAAGTTCTATCTGGAGAATCACGTAAGGGGACTCAAATATGAAGGACCGGTTAGGGGCACCTGGGTGGCTCGGTCGTTAAGCATCTGCCTTCGGCTCAGGTCATGATCCCGGGTCCTGGGTTCGAGCCCCACATCGGGCTCCCTGCTCAGCCAGGAGTCTGCTTCTCCCTCTCCCACTCCCCCTGCTTGTGATCCCTCTCTCGCTGTGTCTCTCTCTGTCAAATAAATGAATAAAATCTTAAAAAAAAAAAAAATATGAAGGACCGGTTAGAAAGAAAAAAGACTGAAGGAAGGACACTCACTATTTGGGTGAGTGATGACGGCTCACATAAGCTATTGCCAAAGGAGGAAGAGAGAAGCAACTGATGAGACCACTATTTAGGAGGCAAGACTGATGCTCTTCATTGATTAACTAACTCTAGAGTGTGACAGAGAGGGAAACAGATTGCCCGGGACACTGGCCTAGGTGACTAGAGGTTGCTGGCACTTAGTACACTTTCTACTGTCAATCCCTTTCTTTTCTTCTGTTGTCACTTTAACTTTCAAATCATGCAATCAAAAAATAAACAAGATATCTTTGAAAACCACACTCCACGCGCACCCTTTTCTGTATGTATTGGAATTCTGAAATTAGAGCATTTATAAATATTTTTGGAACTGACAACGGGGAAGGATAACAGCAAACTGAACTGTTAAAAATAGTCCAGGAGAGGAGTCTGTTTAGAGACTAAGTGAATCTCAGGCTAAAGTTTAAATATGATGCAAGACAATTTTTCTCTCAGGAAGCCAACTTTAAAATTAACAGTCACTTTTGGGCAGCTTTCTTCCTCCCACTAACTCTCTAAAGAAACGAAAGATGCCTAATACAAGATAATGGCCCCTATCTCAGAAGCCACATTTGGCTTAATTCCCAACCGTGTAGACGGCTGCCAAACAAGGAACAAGAGAGAAATGTCCTCTTGCCCTCACCCACCTCTCCTTTCCTCCGGTGCCGAAACAGATAAGGTCATTCATCAAAGAAAGCTCGGAAGGCCGTGAAGGCCTGACAGAAGGCAGCGCAGTGAGACAGTAGTGAGACAGCCTGGGCCCTGGGCCCAGCGGTGCTTCCACGCGCCCCCTCCAGGAACCCCCGCTGCAGACCTACAGCACTGCGGGCGACTCCGAGCAGGGCAACCAAAAAGAGGAGATGCGTAAAAAAAGGATTTCTACAGTTACTGTGAGTTAAAAATAGTCTTCATTGTAAGTCTAATAAGTTTGGTTGTTCTTCTATTCTTCACAGAATGCATCACAAAATGGAACATATATATACTAAAGTGGAGAGAAGAGGTCTGAGAGAAGTGTTTAGTTTTGTTGCTGGGCCCCAAGAAATGTTTACTACACTAAGTAATGAAAACATATATCTACAAAAATTGAACACAAATTAAACTCTCCATCAGATCTTGTTCAATAGTTTTCAGTCCTCACATCCTAGTCAATCACAAATTCACAAGTAATTACAACGCTTAATTAAGAAATTCAATTAATATCACTGAATTCAATTTCTTTAAAAACTGACTCACACTAAGAAGTCAAATTTTACTTTATAAAATTCTTTTCCACTGTTAGCTCTAATCCCTATTTATTTTATCTCCAAGGTCCTAAACTGGCCATGAAGCCCATCAGCCCACGAAAGTATTTTATTATTCTATAGAGCATTTTTTTAAAAACAGGAGACTCAACATAAAACAACATGCTCCTGGCTTTCCTGAAACAAGGGAGCACCTGTCAACCTTGAGCCACATTCCTGCTTGACCAGAGTCACTGACCCTCCAGGAAAGCCACGAGGCCGTCCTTGTCACTTGCTTTATACACAGTTTATTCTCACTGGATAGATCTTCAAACAGATCCTCAAGGAGATTGCTCTGTCCATTCAACAAGCTGGACTAATTTTGAACCCAGCCAAGAAAATAACATTAATTGCCCATATTTTTACCTGCCTGTGACACTTACCATTATCCTATTATGTATCTGATGACTTTCAGTTACCTACATATATATGTATATACACACACACACACACACACACGTATATCTGGTATAAGATCATTCCTATAAATGTGTATATAATAATTAATTCATAGTTGCCTTTCTTAAGGCCAATTTCCTTTAGGAACTGGGCTATTATAAAGTTATGGGTTGCCTATGTATGATATACTGATTCTGATGACTCCACTCACTACAAAGAAAACCAGTTAAAACAACAATCTCAACCTCTACCTTATGATCATCTTTAGCCAACAGGCCTGTTCTCTCCCACAGCACTTAAAGCATATTCTTTTTTTAGACTAGGAACTTCTAGAAGCCCAATGTTAAGCAGCTCTGTTGGAAAGTTTCTTTATATTAAGGTAAAATCCATTTCCCTTTAACTGCTAGTTCCTGGGCTAGATTCCAGCCAAAAACCAAAAACCTCTGACATCACAAAATTATTCATAGAATTGAGGCCCGGCTTTCCTAAATTGATGAGTACTTTTAATTACTAGTATGAAAGAAGAAATTGTTTTAATAAAGCAAAAAAGCAAAGTCTACCTAAAGGTCAATGGCCTCACACTTTATTAAGTAAGATTCAAACTACAGCCCAGCTATCTAAAACTAACAATGCAAGTCATTTCCACAACCGATGACCCATCTCTCATAGGATAGTGTCAGTATTTGGCATCAAATGTCCTTTATAAAGTGAAAAACTACAGAATGGCTTGTTTTGTATTATGTGCTACAAATCTGCTTGCCAATTTTGTATGATAGGAGAGTCAGTTCATAAAATTATATTCTCATTAAATAATATTATGTAATATAATATATAAAATATTAATTTAAGATACACCTATCAACTTTTCTTCAATCTCCAAGGGGAAAAAAAAAATCAAGCTTTAGTCAAAGTTTAAGAACATTAAAAATTATGACAGAACTCCGGTCTCAATACAATTAACATTACCACTTAACATACTGATAATTAAAAAAGGCATAGCCAAGTGCTTTTAAAGGCCTGTGCTGTAAGAAATGGCATGAGCTTACCCGATTCTCATCATAAATAATTTGGACAATACTGCGGTGTTTCTGCTCCACGGGAGGAGGGGACACAGGCTTCTCAGGCTCAGGAGGTTTAGCTGCTTCTTCTTCGAGCTGTTGCTAAGAGACGCAGAAAGAAAGATTCAGGCATCTGATGCAGTCACCCCTCCCAGTAATTAATCACCAGAGATAACACATGCTACTGAGCAATTCTATGGGGTAATCTTCTAATCTACTAGGGCCTAATGGATCCAAGGGTCCTAACAAATCCAATCAGACTTATTTTGACTAAGAACTAAATAATATAATCATTAGAGAATCCTTTTATATTTTAATTCTGATCAATTTAAAAGCAAAATCATAAGAGAAGCTAAACATTGGAAGCTACCCCATAGACCTCCATCACAATGACCTTTTGTAGCACAGGAAAAACACTTTGTATGTTACAGATACAGTACGCACTAATGTCTGGTAGGAAGAGTTTTGTAGCGCATTTGCAGACTAATCCTTAACTCAGAACAGCACCATGTTCAGCCCCCCAGCCAACCTTTATATTTTGCAGTCAAGAGGCACTAGCAAAACTACAACTTTGTGTACAATTACAAAACAAAAAGCAATCTGCATTACTCTGCCCCGGTTTGAGCCTTAGGGTCACCCTTTACAAGTGGCAGGATCCTAAGATCCTGAACAAGTATATAAACCACTCATTATGTAAGGTAGGAATATCAATTTTATCTACCACATAGATTTCTGAGAAGATTAAATAACTCAATATGTATCAAGCACATTACAACTATAAAAGCTCAGTAAATATTACCTACAATTATTACTGAACCAAGAAGGGACCTTGCTTGGTTCACAGCTTTTTATTTTTCAGCACATAAGCCAGGGCTTGATACCTAGTAAATGCTCAACACAGAGCCTTGTGAATTTTACTGCCTAAGATAACAGCAGAGACACGGGGTCAAGATGTTATGTCTACTAAAGCCTCTAGGAAAAAATAATCTGTACTTCTAAGACTGCTAGTCAAGACTCCTAGTCAAGTAAGTCAGATCACAGCCAACCTAAGGATAAAATTCCTCCAAGAGACAAGCTTCAAGGACCACGTCCACCTTGGAATTCAAAGTACTTTTGCAGGCTGCTATCTGTATAAGCAAAAGACAGATATTTGGAGCTATGAAGTCATTTTTATGGAACTGAGTTCTTCATTCCCTTCCTTTCCTTTGCTCAGAGGGCCTTCTTTTAGGATCCCTGTTAAGTAGGTATGGAGAAAGAAATAAACAAGCTTCCAGAAATCACGTTTTGTTCTTAGTACCAGACAAAACCATTGTAACAGAAAGACTACAAACAAACAAAAACAAAAGATACAAACTTTCCTCACTTATTTGTTCTTTTACATGAACTTTACAATAATTTTGCAAATTTAAAAAGACCTAGAATTTTTCTTGAAACTGTATAAACATACGATTATATATAAATGATGTTCACATTACTAAAATTAATACTGTGTTTCTATGCACCTGTGGTATAGTTCTTTATTTACTCAAGTTGCCCTTTATATTCCTCAATAAAATTTGTAGCTCCTATATACCTCATAATGGTCATACAACATATTTCATTATTTTTAATTATTATAATGGATTACACATTACTGAGCATTTACTATATGCCACATATCATACAACCACCACATAATTTAGTGGGTATTATTAGCAGCAGTACTGCTATTTCACAAGTGAAGAATCTAAAGACAGACCAGATCTGACCAACTCAGCAGAATCAGACCCACTGATACTTAAAAGAATTGTCAAGCATATTATTATAAATTTAATATGACTCAATAAATAAAAGATGGCTGAACTTTTTTTTAAAGCAAGGTAATATTTTTTACATGATGAGATTTAAAAATTAGCCTAATAGAAATTAAAGCAATAAAAACAATTGAAATTAAAGATCTATTTGACAGATTAGATATAACTAAAAAGAGAAATGCAAACTGAAAAACAGAAATGAAGAAATTGCCCAAATGAAGCCCCAAGAAGCAACAACTGGGAAAGAAAAAACAATGAAGAGACAGGAAGGCAAGAGTGTAAGATGCTACATCTAATAGAAATTTCAGGAGATAACAAAGAAACTATAGAAAAAGATGTTGTGGAAAAAAAAAAAGATAATGGCTTAGAATTTTCCAGAACTGATTAAAAACTCTAACACATTCAAGAAGCCCAATGTGCTGTAATGAGCATTGGGTATTATATAAGACTGATGAATTACAGACCTGTACCCCTGAAACAAATAATACATTATATGTTAATTAACTGAATTTAAATTAAAAAAAAAAAAGCCCAATGAGTCTTAAGCTGGACAGATTTAAAAACAAAAACACATCCCTAATAACTCATACTAAAAACAACAGCACACAAAGATATTGAAGTCAGCCAGAGAGAAAATTCAGACCATCCACAAAACAATACAAACTAGACTAAGGGCTGATGTCTTAACAGTGGAAGCCAGAAGACAGTGTGCTGGGACAAAAAGAAGCACATAACAAAAATATCTCTCAATAAACAGGCATAAATAAAAGACATTTAAGTCACAACAATTAAACAAATACTTAATCTGCCAATGAACGGATCCACACTAAAGGAAATTCTGAAGGATGTTTTTCAAGCAGAAGCATGTACCCCCAAATGGAAGATCTGTGTTGCAAGAAGGAATGATGAGCAAATGCGAACGACAAATATGTGAATACACCTAAATAAACACTGACTGTATAAAATAATGTCTTTGGTGGTTGAAATAAAACAAGGAAAACTAAAATGTATGACAAAAGTAGCATAAAAGTTGGGAGAAAAGAGAAAGAAATCAAGAAGTTCCATGCCCTCATACTTCTCAAGAAGATGGTTAAGATATTAATTAGTTTTAGGCTTCAAGTTAAATAGGCTGATAAATTGGTGGGGGGGGGGCACAATAAACAAAAAAAATTGGGGATAAAATCCAAAGTAGTGGGGTAAAAGAAAACGTAGTAAAACAAATAATCAACCCAAGATAAGGACTGGAAAAAACAAACAAGAATACCAAATTCAGCATAAAAAAGACAGGACAAATAGTATAAAATAGTTAAAAATAATTGGGATATCACCAATCATCATAATCAGGTTAAAAGAACTAAATTATCCTGTGGAAAGACAGACTGTCAGACTGGATGAAAAACAAAATCCAGCTATATACCTATATAAGAGATATACCTTAAATATAAAAGCACAAAAAGTAAAGGGAAAGGGGGGGCCCGGGTGGCTCAGTTAGTTAAGCATCTGACTCTTGATCTCAGGGTTGAGTTCAAGCCCCTCACTGGGCTCCATGCTGGGCATGGAGGCTACTAAAAAAAAAAAAAACCCCAACATTTTGGGGTGCCTGGGTGGTTCAGTCAGTTAAGCATCCAACTCTTGATTTCACCTCAGGTCACAATCCCAGCGTCATGATATCAAGCCCTGCGTCGGAATCCATGCTGCCCATGCTGCGTGTGGAGCCTGCTTGGGAGATTCTCTTTCTCCCTCTGCCCCGCATCCCTCTCAAAAAAAGAAAAAAGAAGGAAGGAAGGAAGGGAGGGAGGGAGGGAGGAGAGAGAAAGGGAGAAGAAAGAAGATATACTAACCAATAGCAACCAAAAGAATGATGACCTAATTACATCAATATCATGCAGAACAAATTTTATGGTAAAAAGCATTACAAGAGATAGAATGTCATTACCTTATAATAGAAGGTTTCACTAACCAGGAAAATGACAACTATAAACTTGTAAACACCTAAAATAAGAGCCTAAAAATACCCAGGATAAAAACTGAAAACTGGGGGCGCCTGGGTGGCTCAGTCATTGAGCGTCTGCCTTCGGCCCAGGTCATGATCCCAGGGTCCTGGGATCGAGCCCTGCATCGGGCCCCCTGCTCCGCAGGAAGCCTGCTTCTTCCTCTCCCACTCCCCCTGCTTGTGTTCCCTCTCTCGCTGTGTCTCTCTCTGTCAAATAAATAAATAAAATCTTTAAAAAAAAAATTGAGAACTGGAAGGAAATATTTGCAAATCATGTATCTAATAAGGTATGAATACCCAAAATATACAAAGAACTCACAGAACCCAACAGCAAAAAACACTCCGATTTAAAAAATGGAAAGAGGATCTGAACAGACACTTTTCCAAAGAAGACAACCAGATGGCCAACAGACACATGAAAAGATGCTCAACATCACCAATCATCAGGGAAATGCAAATCAAAATAGCAATGAGGTATTGCCTCATACCTGTCGATATGGCTAGTATCAAAAAGACAAGAGTTAACAAGTGCTGGTGAGAATGTGGGAAAAAGGAAACCCTTGTGCACTGTTGACAGGAATGTAAGTTGATGCAGCTAATATGGAAAACAGTATGGTGGTTCCTCAAAAAAATTAAAAACAGAACTACCCTATGATGCAGCAATCGTCTGGATACTATCTGAAGAAACGAAAATACTAACTCAAAAAGATATACTAACCCCCACCCCCATGTTCACTGCAGCATTATTTACAATAGCGAAGATATGGAAACAACCTAAGTGTCTATCAAGAGATGAATGAAGAAAATGTGTGTACAGAGACATACCATGTCTGTGCACACACGCGCACACACACACACAATCTTATTCAGCCACAAAAAACAAAATAAAATCTTATCATTTGTAACAACATGGATAAATCCTGAGGTATTTCACTTACACTAGGTGAAATAAGTCAGACAGAGTAAGGCAAATACTGTATGGTCTCATTTATATGTATAATCTAAAAGAAAACCAAGCTCACAGATAGAACAGATTGGTGGTTGCCACAGGCTAGAAGTTGGGGGCAGAGGAATGGGTAAAAAGGGTCATAAGATACAAACTTCCAATTACAAAATTAAAAAGTCATGGGGATATAATGTACAGCATAGAGACTATAAATAATAGTGTACAGCATATTTGAGTGTTGCTAACAGAGTAGATCTTAAAAGTTCTCATCCTGCACAAGGAAACAAAATTCTGTTAATTATGTACCGTGACAGATATTAACTACACTTAGTGTGGTGATCATTTTGCAATATATACCAATATCAAATCA